ATTCATTCATTACACATTTGAAACTTTAGATTGACATTCCAAATTTGATTCAGCCACTGAAGAAGTGAAGCAGAAAAAATTACAGAGCAGCTAACAAATAACCCAGAAAGAATAGCTAAATATTCCTTCTATAGGCAGCTACATGAGGACTAGAGTTTACAAAGTTCTAAAAAAATGTACTCCTCCCAGATCTAATAAAACTAACTACAACAATGTCATTTCCATTTTCTAATAATCTCCTAATTTTGGGATCTCTAACTCTCTCTGTTTCAATGGTTTCAGAGTCACAAAAGAAATATTTGCAGTTTTCTAAAGGTGGAGATGAAACTGATAAACCGGGTTCGTTTCGTCAGCGTCTGTGCAGCCATCTAATCAATCAGAATGAATAAGAGCAATCCGGTCAGAGTAGACCCATTTGGCTCCCTGAATTATTGGAATGAGTATCTCTCTCAGCCTCCTTTCTCTTGCAATACACATGGGATGGCAGCCTGGGCAACAGGAAGGGTAAATTTAAGAACTCAAGCAGTAGTAGAGAATCATGCAAGATCGAACACGGGGAGTACGGGCCATTTTCCTGTTATCTGTAATATCGTATTCTTAAGATGCCGACTGAACAAGTTCATAACTTAAGACATTACCCCAAGTGCAAGGTGGTGTCTGAATCTCCTCTTTCTATTTCTGAGTTGCAGGCCGCATCAGGGCTTCTAAGGCCAATGTTCTTCTGTTCTAGGGAGCAGTATTCAAGATAAGCAGGTAGCGGACAGTCAACTGGCGGAAACAGACATCGAAGCTCGTTGACCTACAGTAAGGTAAAATCATCAAAACTCATGCCTTAGTAAATTTATGATGATAATTGATATTCAAGTTACTAGTTAGTATTAACAATGACTGCTTGCCTGTCTCCGCAAAGTTTCATTCTCCAGCATCGCTCGCTGTTCCTGAAATGAAAATATGAACAACCCATGAGATTTTAAGTAATCAGACATGGATTGGGATGAAAATGAGGTTGACAATTTCCTTTGTCATAACTATCGCTCCAAGTGCAGTTCTCGCTGTGTATACTTCATTTTAGTCCCTAAATGTTCTGTTTTAGTTTACATTAAAATCCATTTTGGTTCTTACTGTTAAATTATTGTTTTGCATTTAACCAAAATTTTGTGAGCATCATACAAACTTGTGTTATAAGTCAAGTATATTGAGTCTAGTACCAAATTTGAAAACAGAGGGCCAACCCGGACCAAAGCAAGTATTTTCTAAATTTGACAGGAACGTAGCAAAACTTAACAAAATAAATATAAACATTTAGAGACCGAAATGGGATTTAAACTCGATTACACATTATTGTCATCGAAAGCTAAACTGATAACTACATGAGCTATTTGACCATCAAAATGTGAACTATCGTGTTCTAAGCTATTACCTCGAATCGTAAATACGGACATGTTAGTTCCTTCTATGATTTTAGTATGTTATTGATCTAAGTTCTCTCTCTGTGCTTCCACTCTTCAAGGATTAGCCTAATCCTAACTTGCGTGTATAATAAAAGCACAAAATACATTAAGTCACCTGTACCCTTGATTGCTCTAGTTGTTCCATCAGTAACTGTTCCTAAAAAAATAGAAGGTTCATCAAGGCTTGAAACTTCAATTATTTTTTGAAATTTCATGTTACAGAAGGAAAAGGGAAGTCAAAATCAAACCCAAACCTTCTTCTCCTTCACCATTAATAGCCCTTCATTTAGTTGTTGCTCCAAGTTCTGCAATTCTTTGAAGCCTAAGCCAGTCAGATCCTTTCCCAATAGCTGTCTGCAGAGCCCACATGATGAAATACGTATAAAAAGAGGCATCTTCGTTCTAAAAATAACATGTCAAGAGAAGATAGATGGCGTACGTACAATTGTTTCATTTGTAGAGTTGTTATTTCGTCTCTTAGAATGTCTACCTCCTCGTGCTCTTGCTTCTGGAGATGAAGATACCGTTAGAATAAGCATGCAATATTGAATATACTGTCAAGCACTAATTTTCGAGAATGTCCAAATAAAATAAACAGCCAACCAGACATAATCCATAACGGTAACAATCAAACATCGAAAATATAGGGAAAAAAAAGGCTATGCATGCATTATTTATCAACCTTGTCTCCTAGAATGTGATGGAAAATTATCATATTCTCTAGGCATCTCCTTAATCTAAATAGATATAAATCACTCAGTACCTCAACCTTGCGCCCGTCTACCGCAGCCTCTGAAGAATCTACACATCGGTTGTATCTTGAAAGAGTATGCTTCATGCTGCCCAAATAAGGATAAAATAGACTGGATTAGGCTTCACCTTACTCCTCCCTGTTCAAACTTATAATACAGCCAGCTCTTGTCATTTCAAGTTTCAGTTTAACTTCAATAAACATATCAATTAAGTTTAGCTACTGCTAAATGAAAACATTCTAGCTCTTGATTATGATGATTGATAAATAGCAAACTAGACGACACATGGATTTTTGACTTCAACGAGATTTACTTCCTCTCCTGCTGATAAATGTATCGTGTAATATTGTCTGTTGAGTCATAAATGAGCATAAAAGTGAACAATGAATGAAGAAGTAGATTCCTTTTATAAGTTTTCTCTTCCACTGTTCTTCTATGGCCAAACCTCGACATTGCTACGAGTAATGACAGCGATGGAAGAACGCACGAAACAGAGTTGAGCACCCAGGAAAAGCATGAAAGAATCCAGGAGAAATTTTCGGCCAAGAGCAAGGAACAAGGATTGAGAAGTCCAGTCGATTCAGAAGAATTTACACTAAGTCATGAGATTCAGTCTAAGTCCAGTCAGAGTAGACCTGGGAAAGCCACATCTTTTTCTTGCCTCGAAAGACATTGTCAAACACTCAAAATATCTTTCAAAATAAGCCTTCCAAGTTCACATACATCACAAAATATTTTAAGAAAGGGGCCTATAGCATGTTCAAGAATTAGAAAATCCTCATACTATACTGTAAAAGGTTTCAGCAGCACCCAACTTAAACTTACTACATGAAACTTGGAATTATGATTCACAACAGTATTGACAAGAAAGAAAGTGAAATGAAGAATGTAAAAAGAGTAAAGTAAAACCACCCAAGAGCCTCCTCTTCAAAACCAAAGGCTCTCTAAAATGCAGCAGTGTATTCAGCAACACAATGAACAGGAAAAACGAACATGCAAATTTGCAAACGAAAAGATGTCAATATCCCACAAGATTGAGCTCAAATTCCAACATGCAAACCAAACCAAACCAAAAGGGAACGCCCAAGAACCAACAGAAGTCAGAACAAGCAAGAAAGAACACAAACCCAGAACTGGAAAACTCGAAAAGCTTGCCAGTATTGGAGAAAATGATAACAGCAACTTCAGCATCGCAGAGAATGGCAAGTTCCTGAGCCTTCTTGAGAAGCCCAGCTCGCCTCTTGGAGAACGTGACTTGCCTGCTATTGGCATTCTCAATCCGCTTGATTTCAATCTTCCCCCGACCCATTTCGAAATGCCCTAAATCCCCAACACCCAGATGATCGAAATCCCCAAATTTCCAGGTTTGAATCGGAATCGGAATCGAAACCCCCAAAGAAGAAGAAGAAGAAGAAGAAGAAAACCCTTGTTGTGAAATGGCCTCTGTTTTGTGGTTTTTGGGGGAATTTCCCTTTTCCCCTTTGCGGGTTCAATATTTAGCCATTTTGGGGGGTGTGATAAACTTGGGAAAGAGGGTAAGAGATTACCAAATTTAGAGAGGAGAAGATAAAGGAGGGTGAGAGAGCGTTTTACCCCAAATGGCAGAAGGGGCTGGAAACGGCAACCTTGCATGGCTCTGTATACTATATAGAGTTATGCATGACTCCTTTTGCCACATTTAGAGTGTTTTCGGTGTTTATAGGTCTCTTTTGGGAGGGTCCCACTTCCTTCTCTCTCTCTCTCTCTCTCTCTCTTCCCCCATTTTTTCTTTCTTGTTCAAATTCCTCTTCCTCTGTTTCTTCTTCTTCCTCCCCCCTCACTGGCTCTGGCTCAGTCCTTTGACAGGTCGTCTCCTCCATCTCTCTCTCTCTCTCCACTGATTACTTGAATGCTGTATATGGCAATTTAATGGTTGCTGCTTTTAGTATATATGTTGCCAAATATAGGCGTGGCTCGCTGGTGCCTATTTCCACTTCTTTTCTTTCCTGGTTTCTGGTTTTGGATTTTCCCTCCCATTTGGGTTTTGGATTTTTTTTTTTTTTTGAAGTTTCCTTGCAAATATGAGGACGAAGATTCGAACAAATAAGCATCCAACTTTCTCTCCTTTCTTAGAACTTCGATAATGAATTTTAGTTTTTTTTTTCTTTGGACAGGTTTGATTACTCGGTGTGAATTTGATATGTATTTTTTAAATTTTTGATGGATGATGGTTGAGATTGTTTTTATTAAAAATAAGTATTTCTAGTTAATAATATATAGAGAAAAGAATTTGAATTTTGACGGATGAGATATATCTTAATCAATTGATAAAAAAGGAAAAGGTGAATAATGTCATCATCCTTGAAACAAAACAGAAGTTGGTTTCTTTCAACATGAGTCAATTTTTTATCCTTTTTAAGAATTGTGATTATTTTAATATATCACGTTACATTAAGGAAGAAAATTTCGAACTTTCAACCAAAATATAAAAAATTGATCATGTCTTAATTATTGAGTTATGTTTGATTGGTTAGTTTTTTGTTTTCCACCTATATATAGTAAATTGTCACTTTAGTTATCTTAAATCTATTTTTAAATTTATTTTTGTGATGATTTTCTTTTCACTTCTTAAACATGTAACAATATAATTTTGGAAAATATAAGGAGGAACCTATCCTTACTCCCATTAAATATTTGACAACTCATTATTTTTTTAAAACATTTTTTGTTTTTATATTTCTCTCTTAGTTGATATTTAACGGTGGTAAGGACAAAATTCCTGAGAAAGCCAAGTATTTTCCTATAATTTTTTCTTTCTTATAATTATTTTTATTTGGCATTCTATTGTAATTGAAAAATTATTTCTCATTCATTTTATATTAAGACTTTTTTTATTGTATAAATTAATTTGTACTCTTAAAAAAATAATTTTAAGGTGTAGATTGAATATTATATATATATATATATTTCTTTTATACCAATTAGATTCTGCCACTTGGACAATCCATATGTGGTAGTAGTCATGCGAATATCCAAATTATACCTTAAAGTTTTACCTTTTTATTTTTTTCTCTTTTTCACCTTTCATTGTTGGGAATGTGGAATATTGATTACTTAAAAAGAAACTCTTTTTCTTTTTTAAGGTCTCTCTTGACTTTGGTTTTTAACCATAAATATAAATGCTGCTTAATATTAGTGCCCTTGTGAGTTGCAGTTGCAGATTATTCTCTTCCTTATTTATAATGTAGTAAAAAAATAAACCAATTTTTAGTTTTTTTTTTTGTTTTTTTGGCTTTTATCCAATTTAGCCTGAAGATTCTTAAAACGTTGTTTTGATAATGTACTATTAGAAAATACATGTTTTTCTATGTATTTATTTATATGTTATCTCATTTGACTGCAATTTAAATATAACATTATTCTCAACAAATTTCTTGAAATATTGTTGTATCTTCTATTCATTGTGTATAGAATTTGTATTAAACTTTGACAAATATAGACCAAAAATTAGTCTTGTTTAAAAGTAGTATGATCATGGACTAAAAATGATGTTTTGAGAGGACAAAAAAACGAAAGCATATGAACCAAAATAAGACTTTTAAAAAATGTAGATTAGTTGGGAAATATTTTAATATTTTACTTTAAATAGTTTTTTTAATTGTTATTTTAATAATTATATTATGCATCTATATGATCAAAATGGATGATTTTAATATTTTACTTTAAATAATTTTTTAAAATGTTATTTTAATGTACTAAAAAAACAATTTTTTTAAATGTTGTTTTAATATAATTATTTTAAATGATTTTTTAGCGTACTAAAAAATGTTATTTTAATAATTATATTATGTATTTATAGTTTTACATGGATGCAGTGGGAGTCAATTGAAAAAAAAAATAAAAATAAAAAATAGGCTGACACAAATTAAGATACTTAATAATCTCTCTCTTTGTCTCATATAGATAATTTTCCTTATTATAAATGCCAATGACTAAAATAGAATATTTTGAAAAATCTAGAAGTTAAATAAATACATTTTTACATATAGTAAAAAATCTAAAGACTTTATTCCCCCATTTAAAAAAAACAAATTATAAAAAAAAAGAAAAAGAAAATCTAAAGACCTTATTCCCCTCTTAATTATCTTATATTCAAAACAATTTTATATAAAAAACAGAGATTTCAATGTTTTTTCCCCTCGATTTTTTAGACTGGACGGATTATATTAAAAAAAAAGTTAGAAGGTAAAATTTTACTCCTTCGTGTATAAATTCATGGCTTACATGGTCAGTATGTATTTATCTACTAACTACCATTTAAATATTTGTCAAATATTTATTTCTTAAAAAAAACCTATATTTTCTCTTCATTCATGCATTCCTCTCTCATAATTGTAAAAAATATAATGGCAGTGGTAGTCATTAAAATGTTGACTAACATAATTATTTCACTGATAAAAGTTTGACACTTATTTATTTTTTTGAAAAATGTAAAATTTATCTTCTTTCTACATTTATGCATCTCTTTTACTGGTAAAAAAAACACGTGGTAATTACTAGGTGCTTATTTAGTAACGTTTTCGATTATTATTTATTGTTTTATCTTTTTTTAAAACATAACTGCATTTAGTAACTATTTTTGTTCCTCATTAATAACAGATGAGTCTATAAGTATAATTCATTTGTGGTTCTCCCCCTCAAGGATATATTGGAAAAATGGTAAAGATAATAGACTTATCTCTCTCTGTTTTTACCCTTTTAAACCTCTTGCAACAAATGGTAAAGTCACTGCCCATCTATTTAAAGACAAGTGACTATTTGGGATTCAGTATATTACTGTTTCTCTGTGTTTTAGAATAGAGTACTCTCTGTCTTGTGTATTTAGAGAGTTCCATTGGATTTTTTTCCCTCCCCAAATCTTTTTATTATTATTTTTAAATACTATTCTGATCTCGATACTTTTTGTTTTAGTTCATTTTTGTCCTTGCACTTTCAAAACATTCATTTTAGTATGTCTATATGTTATTTTTTCGCATATTGTTTTATTTTGTCTTATTTCTTTGTACAAAACAAATTTATAACACCACAAATAATTTATAAAGTTTGAATAAACTATAAAAACAAAATCGAAACCTTTAAAATCATTTCTTAAAAAATGAAAAATTGAAACCTTCAAAAGTGCTATTCAGTGTAAAAACTAGTAGAAAGCATAGGGTTAAAATTAACAAATAAGGTTCTACATAATTTATGGGCCAAGGTTTGGCCCGTAATCCGGCTTTCAATCGCGTCTTACTTTCATAACAGGCCCACTCAGTAACCCAACTCAAGAAAAAGCCCATAATTCTTTATAAGCAATGGATCTTATTGGGCTCCAAGAAAAGCCCATGGCTTCACCGTACAGATGTCACTTGCAGACTGGATGGCTGACGAAGCAGTCGTCCTTCCAAAACGTTGACTAAAATAAACCCTAGGTGTTCCATTCCGCAGAGGATCATAGCTCCTCAAACCCGCTAATTGAACTCCCGAAAACGTCAAAAATAAAAGCTTCAAAAATCCCAAAATTTTCATCATATTGTGTGAAAATTTCACAGAGGAAGCGAAATACAGAGAGAGAAAGAGGAGAGAGAATAGCGAGTCTCTCACTTTCACTCGCATTTCACAGATCAGATCGAAACTACACCCCATCACAACCCTCAATTCCCACACACTCTTCGAAATTTCAGAAATTTCCCCAGATCCGTCGATCAATTCTGTTCCATTTTCGTATGGTGTTAACTGCATACGTAGATTGGTGATAGCAATTCAATTGGGTTGGGTGTAGTTTGTTTGTTTGTAATTGTTTGGGTTTTCAATGGCGTGTGTAAAGGGAGTGAATCGGTCGGCGTCCGTTGCCATAGCACCGGACGCGCCGTACATGGCTGCTGGGACGATGGCTGGTGCAGTGGATCTGTCATTCAGCTCATCCGCCAACCTCGAGATCTTCAAGCTCGATTTTCAGTCTGATGATAAGGACCTCCAGGTAATTGGGGATTCACCAACCTCTGAACGCTTCAATCGCCTCTCGTGGGGGAAGAATGGATCGGGCTCTGAACAATTTTCTCTCGGGCTCATTGCCGGCGGACTCGTCGACGGGAACATTGATATTTGGAACCCTCTTGCGCTGATCCGGTAATTGGACTTAGTTTTGCATTTCTCTTGGATCAATATGTTTGTAAGAATATGGATTGCATCTGTGCCGCAGTGGGATTAATGTATCCTTCTCCTTCCGGTTGCTGGTAAATGGGGAAAGTAGAGTTTAGAAGTTCATAGGTAACGGGTGCTTATTCGGCGAGTTGGCTTCAACGAAATGTACTAATTTAATTGCAGTTGGATTTTCGAGTTTTCTTTCCCCTTCTGAGTTTTCTATGGGAGAGTTAGTCGAAGAAATTTTAGCACAAGTGTGTAGCATGAGAATTGATTGACTACAAAGGATTGGAATGAGTAATGGTTTAGCCTGTATTGGTTTAAGTTTATGAGTTGGTTGGATTGCCTATGCATCCTGAGAAGGTTGATGGATCGGAAGGTTTCCGTAATGTTCATCAATCAAAACATTGGTTCAAATAAATCTGAAAGTGGTCACAGTAAATAATTAAGTTTCCTTTTCTTCTATCCCAATTTAGAGTTCTTTGATAGGTCAAGAAACATGCTAATAAATGCGTTATTAATATTTCCTATGATTGATTATCCATGTGAATCCCAGAATCTCCTTACGAGATCCATTTCTA